GAGTGTTTGTGATAGTCACATATAAAAACTAATGTAAAAGGACTTCTGAAAGATCCAAACCCTAATACTTGTTCTTTGCTCTCCCTCTCCTTTCCTTCTTCCCATACTTTGGCAGTTGGAGATGGTGGTTTTTAAATGAATATTTTAATTTCTAAGCAACTAAATACAAATCAAAATCAAATACTATTTATATAAATTTTTAAATGTCTACTTAGACATTTAAGTAAAAGTAAAGAAACTAATACTTAGCTATCACTGCAAATACCTATGTGCTGAAGGTTATATGCATAAATAAAAGTAACTATAAGTGGAATCTTACAAATTATATTCAGATGCCTAACATGCTCCATCACTGAGCTATACACATTGTTTTCTACAAGAAATAATTTCCATATATTTACATTAGTACCCAAAAATGTTTTAAAAGCTTTAAGATTTGCTTGTGCAAATATAAATTTTAAAGAGAATCTGAATTATATTCATTACCTAAGATGCTGTATTTCATATGTTCAGGGTCAGAAAAAGTGACTCTGCTGCTTTCATATAGGACTTGTCATCACTCCTCCTTGCTGGGAGCTATCTAACACAAATAATCATCAGCTTGCCCACTGAACCTGAACTTAAAAACCCACAAAACCTGGGCAATCAGTAAGCCATGTCATAGTCAGTTCTGCCAGCCATGGAAGCACATGTCCACAGTCCCAGCATTTGGGAGGTTGAGGCAGGAAGATTGCCACAGAGTTGAAGGCCAGCCTGGGCCACATAGCAAGACTCTGTCCCAAAACAATAATGATAACAAAAACAGTCAATTCTATTTTATACCACATACAGATATTTGACATTCTTAAAGATGTTAACTGAGAATGTGCTATAGAAATACAGCAGATTTAAAATTTTGTGAACTGTAACAGGAGAGGCCTCCCCTCTACACATATCTGTTTAGAGTGATGAATTTGGTTATTCCAGTAAACTCTCCCAATGAAATACAAATTTAATAAAAAACTCTGAAATTAACCATAAAATCTGCAGTGGTATAATTTTCATCTTTCACTGGTTCAAATCTGAAGTACTCATGTTACAAAGTAAAAAAACTGTAATAAGATCAGCTTGGTTGTGTACACCTATAATCCCGTAATTTTAGGAGACTGAGGCACAAGAAGCATTACAAGTTTGAGCCCACCCTTTGCAATTTAGCAAAAACCTGTGTCAAAAATAAAAAAAGGGTTGAGGATGTAATCTAGTGCAAAGATGAAGGAGAAGGAGGAGGAGGAAAAGGAAGAGGAGGAATAGGAGGGGGAAGAAGAGGGGGAACAGGAAGAGGAAGAGGAAAAGGAGGAGGGGAGAAAGTGAGGGGGAAGAGCAAGCGGGGAAGAAAACGAAGATCTGTGACAAACTGTATTGTGGTTATGGTATGCCCTGAAGCTGAACTATAGAAACAAGACACATCTTTTTGGGGTGTTTTCTTCTGGTCTCTATGTCCTACAACATTCCAGATATGAGAGATGCAATCTATAACTCCAACTATGACACATACTACCAGAACCTCTAAGGCAAAATGTGTATCACAATGTTAAACAACTCATCAGCAGAGAAATTCAAACTTACCCAATCTGCAGAACTTCGGCATGATACACACACTTAAAAATTGTGGAAAACTGCCTAAACTCTCCACACACATCCCCTCCATCACTCTCTATTATGCAACATTTCAAGCCAACTTTTTTCACTGTGATCCCTGTCAACACTACTTGGTAACAGCACTGGAAAAACTCACTACTCCACAATGATAGTCAAATATCAGCATTTATTTCATTTGGCAAAAATTTATATCAATACAAACTAAAACTAAGGTAAATGTAGTAAAATATGCAAGTTTTTTATCAATTCTTTTGTTCACAAAGACTCTTACAGAGACTCAAATTCATACTTTCACTTCTTTGCACTTTTCATGCCCCACCTCTCAAACCATGGGCCAAGGGGGAGGAGAGGTATAGAAAACCAGAATGAACTCATCAGAATGTATTTATGCATTGAGTCCACTCTACCTTTATTTCCACAGGTTTCTCTTCATTCTCTGCTCCTCAAAGTGATTTGTTTATTCATCTCTGAATTCCCAAAACCTAACCAAATGCCCTTCATATGATGTCACCCTGAAGCACTACCTACATAGCAAGCGATGGATAGGGACTAGATAAATGAGAGACATCACCTTCATGGAACCTGTAGACGTTGGTTGCAGGAAGTTAATCAACTAATAAAAAACCAGGACCAGGGAGTGCAGCTCCACTTCCTACCTTCTTTTCTCTCTATGCCAAAAGCAGGCTTTCTTTTCAGAAATACAAAGTATCTCTTCAACCGGGACCATTCCTGAGTTCCATATTCATATTCATATTCATGTACATGCAACATATCCACATGGAGATAGTTACATGATTAACTGCACAGACTCCAAGCTAGACCCCTTGAGTATGAATACCACCAGCTTCATTACTACCAAACTGGGTAACTTAAGGCAATTATCTGTGTCTCCATTTTCTCATATATAAAATTGGGACAGTAACAATTCTTAGCAAAAAAAATTTAGAATAAAATAATATATGCAAAAGTACTAAAAAAAAACCTGCTTGGAAGTTTATTTACATTATGTTTACTATTATTACTAGCACTTTTAATATTATCACTGTCCAACAAGCATCTAAAACTTGTCCAAAACTGAATTCATACTTTTCCTCCAAAACTATATTCTCTACGTCCTCTCATCTCCTGTTCTCCTAAATTGTTTCAGCTTAAACCTAAGAAGTTATTTCTCCCTTTTCCTCATTCTGCTCATGAGCAAGTATTGTTCTTATGTTACAAACTGCACCCCTCAGTATCACTCTCCAAAACCACCTTTTCCACCAGGAAGTACCGCCACCTGGTCCCCCAGGGCACAGCAATAGCCTCTAATCTCCCCACTTTCATTCTACCTCCCACTAACAAAGCTTAAACTCCATGCCATTTCCTCCAGGCAAACTTTTTCCACTACACTTAGAACAAGATTGTTACTTTTACACAGCCTACAAGTGCCCCTACAGTCCAGCAAACCCTTCCATCATCAGCTGCACCACTTTCTCCCTCTTCTTGAAGAAAGTAGCTCTCTTGGCTTGTTTCTATCTCAGAACCTTGACCTGTGCTGAGAGGCAGAAAAATGTAGTCATTTGGAGTATGGGCTCTCAAGTCAGATTGTCCAAATTCATATCTGTCTCTACCACATTTTAGCTTAAGCAAATTCTGTGCCTGTTTCCTTATCTATAAAAATGGAGATACCATTATTTACCTCATAAGTGTTATAAGGCTGTACTATTTAAAAAATGCTTTAATTTGGTAAGTTCTACTTAAGTGTTCAATGCTATCATCCCACCCCCCACAAGATGTCCTTATTCAGGCTCTTCTCCATTGAATCACCTTCCCCAAAAGGCCTTATCTAAAACAACCTTCCTGTTTCCCAATGGCCTGCTCTTAGCTTCCTTTATTTCACTGTACTTAGCCCTTTCTGAAATTATTTTATGTTTCTTTGTTCTCTATTTCCCCACATCTTATTTCTGTTACCTATTTCCCTACTGTAGTGTGAACTCTACTAGGTTGGAGACTGTCTTCTTCACTGCTCTATTTCTAGTTCTGACTCAGAATCTGACTTCTGAAAGCACACATCTTATGCAGGGTGGAGGCTGATGCAAATCTCTTAACAATGCCATACTTAGAATGTCTTTCATTTTCATATTCATGATCTCATTTGGCCCATGAAAAAGCAACAGCAGCTAGACCATCATCTCCCATTTTAGAGATAAAAAAAAGGAAGTTTCAAGTTTAGACAACTTGTCTTTGTTCACTAAGCTTGTAACTATGACTATAGAACAAAATATGACAAGCAGCCCTACTTTCTAGGGCTCTTCCCATTAGGATAGAAAGATAATACACCCCTGAACTCAATTTACAGAAATGTGATCTTTTAATCTCCTGTATAAATACATCCTGAGGTGTGCACAATATCCCTCCCTTCAAAGCTCCTGACAAGTAGTTGTCCTAGAGTTTGAAAAGTATTACAGCGTACTGCTAACTCATCATTTATGTACTATTGGTGGAAGTTTGCCAAACCACTCAAGGGTCAGATAGGTTGAGAGGGTATTCTAAATTGACAATGCAACAACTCCTAAAAAGTGTGCCCGTGTTGAACATAGCAGGCCAGTTACAGCGTGCTACAAGCTCTCTTCAAAACCCCGACAACTGGAGCAGGGTAGTGCCAACATCACTTGCTAATGACACTTCATTTCTTGATCTCTGATCCATTAGTTTCCCTGACAATACCACAGATCACCCATCAGGTGTGTGTCAAGATCAGATGGGGTGTGGGGTTGAGACTGTGAAATAAGGCAAAATTGTGAGAAAGAGCCCTACCTATAAACGGACATTCCTCAAAATCACCAATTGTCCTTCTAAGCTTTCTGTAGCATTTTACTCGCTTATGTCATCTTACGTGTCCTCATGAAGTTCCTTGTAGGAACAATTAGGGAGGCCAGGGGCTGCCTTTCCTCCAATGGGCAAAACAGTAATGAGACAACGGGTGTTTTAGTTCAGTAACTTGTCCTCAGTGATGTGGGCATCTCAAGGAAGCTAGACACGGGGCCGGCCTCAGAAGGGTAAAGGACAGGACTCTAACTAAACTTCTTTATCGGGAAATTTTAAAGAGACTGTCCGTCTGGATGCCTCGAACGCACGCTCAGGTTCTCCAGCCCGGGAGAAGGTGCGGCCCCGCCCTGGCCTCCCGGCACCCGGGGCCCTC